CAGAGATTCCCCACACCCCCACCCAAATGGGGGCTTAGATTAAGAGTATTCTCTTTTACATTTCTACTTCAGCTCTCCCTGTTTGTAGGACAGAATCCCTGAAAAGCTAATTAAAATTACCCTATCTAAAGTAGAGATTGCCAAACTTTATTTCCAAAAAAAGAACAAATAGTAAATATTTGATGCCTTGCAGTACATCCACCTGTGATATGATGGGATGTAATGTTCGTTTTGTTTAGTGGGAGTAGAAATGTTTTTTGGGGGGGGGGTATTTTGTGTGTGTGTGTGTGTGTGTGTGTGTGTGTGTGCGCTTTAATAGGATCCAACTGGTACTGGAGAAGATTGCCCCTCCTTCTCCAGCAGAGCACCTGGTGGATTTGAACCACGCACCTCTGGAATCGCAGTTCAGGTTCTTTCCAGGGAGTAGGAATGTTTTCACGACTCTTCATAAATGTGAAACCTACACTTAACCATACAAAAGCAAGACTGTCCAAAGTTTGCTAGCCCCTACACAACTGACAGCGTAGGATAAAGGGTAGGATCATCTTAGCCGCTTTCTTGCTTGGTCATTTTGCCCCAGTATCTCCAATTTATACCCAGATGTTGGATACAGAAATTGTCCATTCTTTGCTAAAGAACATTCTTGATAGCATTGTAGCTTAAAAGTGAATGGTGTAAGACTGAGAAAAACTGGATAAATTGTGTACACTGCACTGAAACAGATGAGGGACTGAGTAATTTAAAAGCGTTGTATGATAGGGTATTATGTTTACCACAAGAGTCCACAATTAAGGTTGCATCATGGAATGTACTTGTGGTGGGAGGGGTGCGGGGGATTGTGTACCAGGGAAAGGGAGTCTTTTACTTTTGAAAGAGAGGAGCGAACTGGGGGGCAGGGGGAGAGGGCTAGGCAGGGAGAGAAGTGCACCAATGAATGAATGGAAATCCAAATTCTCTGTAAATGTTCGTTAAAATTATTTTTTTTTTAAAAAAGTGAATGGTGTAAAACCTTTCCTTTCTTTTTTTTAATTTATTTCAGTGAAAATTTATAGAGACTTTGGATTTCCATTCATTCATTGTTGCACTTTTCTCCCCTCCCAACCCTCCCCCCTAGTACACTACCCTCTTGGAAAAGTAAAAGAAAAATTCTTTCATTGTTTTACAAACCCTCTCCCAGGTCCACTCCACCATGTAGCCTCTGCTCTAGACTCCTGTCATGACAAAAACACCTAATGACATATCCCTTTTAAACAGTTTTCTCTCTCATCTATTTCAATGCAGTATACATTATTGAACCCATCTTTCTCAGTCTCTCCCCAACCCCAAAGTCAGTCCTGTTTTACAACAGTGGTGCTATGCAGTATTTGTCCTTTTGTGACTGAGATAACTTCACTCAGCACAATGTCCTCCAGAGTCACCCATTTTGAATCATATTGCATGAGTTCCTTGTTTTTTAATGCAGCATAGTATTCCATTGTGTGAATATACCACAGCTTCTCTATCCATTCGCTTGTTGATGGGTTATTTCCAGATCCTTGCTATTGTGAACAAAGCCGCAGTAAGCATGGGTATGCATGTGAAATTTTTTTTTATAGTAGACACATAAAATTTGAGAATCTGGGTGGAAGTGCCCAGGTCTCTTGGCATCCCATTTCCTCACACTTTTCAATACTTCAGCATTCATTCCTGCCTTGTTCTTGAAGGCTTAAGTATCCTTGGCTTACTAGTTCTTCATGGGGATATTAGGACAATACTATAAAATTAAGCTGTTGAAGTG